TTGAAAGGGTTCCTTATCTTATTGTACAGCAGGTTAGTCCACCAGGTATAACTAGGGTGTAGACTCCACATTTTCCCTCTTTGAGGTAGCTTCCATCACCCTGGTAACTGATGCACAAAAGATACTTCCTCGTCTTGACCTGTCAAAAGGGCGCTAGCTGTAAAGCCAGATACCTATATATGACAGGTATATCAGAGAAAATACTGTACATGGAACAATAAAGACCTGGCTTAATTACCTTTAGTTTGAGGCTATCTCGTGCTCTAACCGGCTAACCCTACCCAATGACATTAATGGCCACTAATGATAGATAATGGGTTTCGGAAAGAACACTCAACTTGATTTGTTGACAGCGTGTTGAAGGTACACCTTTGGTTTCCATAACACTACGTCCAAGTAAAATTAACAGGAGCCGTATTTGCTCCTGTGAGCCTCTGGTCTAGTATAAACAATGGCAATGTCTAACACTCCATACTATTGACGCTACTGGCCGACATTGTCCAGATATGATAGGAGCCGAATTTGCTCCACACGTCTCGGAGGTGACAATAACAATGGCTGCCCCTCCTTCCTCACTGACGCCTGGCCTACATTGTCCAGATGTCAATAAGTGATAGAAGGGTCACATTTACTCTACTTTAATATTGATAATTAAGTTAATTTATTTGAGATGTTTTATGATGGTAAAGTCCAAAGACTAATGTATTTAAGAATATTTCCCACCATAATAGGTGAAGCATTCAAAATAGTATGTGGTGATGATATCCCGTTTTCTATAGACGGTAATTCCACTACAAGTTACGTTTTCTATGGTTAACTTGTGTATACAATGGCAGCAATGTTATCTGCCTGTATGTTATATTAAATGCTGTCGGATTTTCCGACACCGGGAGCGTCAGCCCGCCGCGAGCGTCAGCCCGCCGCGAGCGTGACCCCGCCGCGAGCGTCAGCCCGCCGCGAGCGTCAGCCCGCCGCGAGCGTGACCCCGTCGCGAGCGTGACCCCGCCGCGAGCGTCAGCCCGCCGCGAGCGTCAGCTTGCCGCGAGCGTCAGCCCGCCGCGAGCGTCAGCCCGCCGCGAGCGTCAGCTTGCCGCGAGCGTGACCCCGCCGCGAGCGTCAGCCCGCCGCGAGCGTCAGCTTGCCGCGAGCGTGACCCCGCCGCGAGCGTCAGCCCGCCGCGAGCGTGACCCCGCCGCGAGCGTCAGCCCGCCGCGAGCGTGACCCCACCGCGAGCGTCAGCCCGCCGCGAGCGTGACCCCGCCGCGAGCGTCAGCCCGCCGCGAGCGTGACCCCGCCGCGAGCGTGACCCCGCCGCGAGCGTCAGCCCGCCGCGAGCGTGACCCCGCCGCGAGCGTCAGCCCGCCGCGAGCGTGACCCCGCCGCGAGCGTCAGCCCGCCGCGAGCGTCAGCCCGCCGCGAGTATAAAGACCCACCTCTGACCTTCTCCACCATCACCCCTGAATTGTGGCTAGAATTTCAGCTTTCAAAACCAGCTGGGAAGTACCGTGTCTGCCGGCGCGTAAGATTAACTCATTTTGCAAGAATGTTTCATGGGAAATAAAATGTAGTAGGTTTTAAACATTTATTAAAAAGTGATGTTCAGGTGGAGAGTTTGGCTGGAGGGAACGTGTGATTTTTTTGATCATGTAAATACAATATATATATTCGTTGCAAATACAATGGTGTAAATACAATATATTCGTCAGATGGTTGAAAAACGTGCGTCGTATCCGCCAGCAAATACGGTATTAACCTTTTTAAATAAAAATTAGTTCGCGTTTTTCTCTGAAGAAGACTCAATACCGAGAGGCTATGAATGCATTCAATGCAAGTTTAATAATTAAAAATGCTATTTTTAAGCACGTAACTGGCTGGTCTTTAATTTGTTTTTCTTGTTAATAATCTGAACACTTCTCTATCGTATTTCAAGCTCCAATAACATACAATATTTAAACTTCCCAAAATAAAGATTTTCAAAGGAAACCTTAAACGTTTGCTTAATATTGGTTGTAAATCTTGCAGATGTTGTGTAAACACGGAGCGCCTCGGGTAACGCGCACGGATTGTGAATTGTGAAATCAGGCGCTTCCCGAGTATATAGGAACAGTTGCCTACACGCCTTCCTATTGGCTACCAGCCACTCCCACCATGGCACTCTGCCATGGTCTTGTACCCACCTGTATTTAACCACAAAGTTCGGTATTTATCTAACTCAATTAATTATCTACGGATGCGTGTGCAACTGAATCAAAGCACTGAACTAAAACAATGTTCAATGGACGAGGGTTAGGATTGTGTTCACCATGATATGTTCACATCTATGTGAGCACAGCAAAGTGAGCACATCTAGGTGAGCACATCTAGGTGAGCACATCTAGGTGAGCACATCTCGGTGAGCACATCTAGGTGAGCACATCTCGGTGAGCACATCTAGGTGAGCACATCTAGGTGAGCACATCTAGGTGAGCACATCTATGTGAGCACATCTCGGTGAGCACATCTAGGTGAGCACATCTATGTGAGCACATCTCGGTGAGCACATCTAGGTGAGCACATCTATGTGAGCACATCTATGTGAGCACATCTAGGTGAGCACATCTCGGTAAGCACATCTAGTTGAGCACATCTAGGTGAGCACATCTATGTGAGCACATCTATGTGAGCACATCTAAGTGAGCACATCTCGGTAAGCACATCTAGTTGAGCACATCTAGGTGAGCACATCTCGGTAAGCACATCTAGTTGAGCACATCTAGGTGAGCACATCTATGTGAGCACATCTAGGTGAGCACATCTAGGTGAGCACATCTAGGTGAACACATCTATGTGAGCACATCTCGGTAAGCACATCTAGTTGAGCACATCTATGTGAGCACATCTAGGTGAGCACATCTAAGTGAGCACATCTATGTGAGCACATCTAAGTGAGCACATCTAGGTGAGCACATCTAGGTGAGCACATCTAGGTGAGCACATCCATGTGAGCACATCTAGGTGAGCACATCTAGGTGAGCACATCCATGTGAGCACATCCATGTGAGCACATCTAGGTGAGCACATCCATGTGAGCACATCCATGTGAGCACATCTAGGTGAGCACATTTAGGTGAGCACATCTAGGTGAGCACATCCATGTGAGCACATCCATGTGAGCACATCTAGGTGAGCACATTTAGGTGAGCACATCTAGGTGAGCACATCTAGGGGAGCACATCCATGTGAGCACATCTAGGTGAGCACATCCATGTGAGCACATCCATGTGAGCACATCTAGGTGAGCACATCCATGTGAGCACATCCATGTGAGCACATCTAGGTGAGCACATCCATGTGAGCACATCTAGGTGAGCACATCCATGTGAGCACATCCATGTGAGCACATCTAGGTGAGCACATTTAGGTGAGCACATCTAGGTGAGCACATCTAGGTGAGCACATTTAGGTGAGCACATCTAGGTGAGCACATTTAGGTGAGCACATCTAGGTGAGCACATCTAGGTGAGCACATCTAGGTGAGCACATCTAGGTGAGCACATCTAGGTGAGCACATCCATGTGAGCACATCCATGTGAGCACATCTAGGTGAACACATCTAGGTGAGCACATCTAGGTGAGCACATTTAGGTGAGCACATCTAGGTGAGCACATTTAGGTGAGCACATCTAGGTGAGCACATCTAGGTGAGCACATCTAGGTGAGCACATCTCTAGGTGAGCACATCTAGGTGAGCACATCTAGGTGAGCACATCTAGGTGAGCACATCCATGTGAGCACATCCAGGTGAGCACATCTAGGTGAGCACATCTAGGTGAGCACATCTAGGTGAGCACATCTAGGTGAGCACAGCAATGTGAGCACATCTAGGTGAGCACAGCAATGTGAGCACATCTAGGTGAGCACATCTAGGGGAGCACATCCATGTGAGCACATCCATGTGAGCACATCTAGGTGAGCACATCTAGGTGAGCACATCCATGTGAGCACATCCATGTGAGCACATCTAGGTGAGCACATCTAGGTGAGCACATCCATGTGAGCACATCTAGGTGAGCACATCTAGGTGAGCACATCTAGGTGAGCACATCTAGGTGAGCACATCTAGGTGAGCACAGCAATGTGAGCACATCTAGGTGAGCACAGTCACATCTAGGTGAGCACATCTAGGTGAGCACATCCATGTGAGCACATTGTGAGCTGTGAGCACATCTAGGTGAGCACATCCATGTGAGCACATATGAGCACATCTACACATCTAGGTGAGCACATCCATGTGAGCACATCTAGGGGAGCACATCCATGTGAGCACATCCATGTGAGCACATCTAGGTGAGCACGTCAGACACAAATATGGAGAAGTGTTTTTCATAATTTCTGTCATCTCCGCTTGTGAGTTATGACAGGAAGCTACGTGTGGCCTTGACCGGAGGTCACGTGTGGCCTTGACAGGAGGTCACGTGTGGCCTTGACAGGGGGTCACGTGTGGCCTTGACAGGGGGTCACGTTTGGCCTGACTCGCCGTCATACCTGTCAATCTCATCAAACTTTTATGGCCCCGATCCTGTTTCCCGACAAAATAAATGTCTTGCGTTTATACACAATAAAACATAGAGGCGGATACTGGCGCGTAAACTTTAAACTAAAGTTACCGACGGATTATACGTAGATGTGAGCCCCTTGGTGGTGCATGGCGACCAGTGCTTGTCATCCTGGGGCCAGATTCACGAAGCAGTTACGCAAGTACTTACGAACGTGTACATCTTTCCTCAATCTTTGACATCTTTGGTTACATTTATTAAACAGTTTACAAGCATGAAAACTTCCCAATCAACTGTTGTTATTGTTATAAACAGCCTCCTGGTGCTTCGGAGCTCATTAACTGCTTAATAATTGTAAACAAAGCCTCCAAAGATTGAGAAAAGATGTACAGGTTCGTAAGTGCTTGCGTAACTGCTTCGTGAATCTGGCCCCTGATTCTCGCTACCTCCTCTCTCCTGACGCAGGCGCGGGTGAAGCTTCAGCAGAGGAGCTACCTGGAGAGCGAAGAGCTGCTGCAGAAGGTGCTCGACCAGTCCCCCGGCCACCAGGAGGCGCTCTTCCACCTCTCCCTCCTCTACACCCACACCAACCGCACTGAAGACGCTTTCACTCTCGCCCAACAAGCCGCCCACAACTGCTCGAGGCCGCCCTACCTCTGCGCCCGTCTCCACGCCCACTATGGAGACCTCCTCAACGACAGACATAATGTAGATGAGGCCGCCCAGGTAAGATCTTTCATACCGTGAGCATTATTAGGACCCTGCAGCAGTTTCTCACAGTTACCAAAATTGTATAAAGGTATCCGACGGTAATAATAAGTTAATAATGAAATACGTCAAGAAGTGACACATACTGCAAGAGGAAATACTACACCAGGGTACATGTACACTATATTATGTTCTGGCAGAGTTACCTGCTAGCAGTGGAGTTGGAACCGACGCTCACCCACCCGCACATCAACCTGGGGGCCCTCTACCACGCTAAGGTCTGTTCCACTTCCCTCTTCAACTCGTAATAATGTTCATGTCAAACTTCCTTCCCACCACTGGCTCCCTTAACACTGTTTATATCTCCATATTGGCAGTAAGGTGTGGTATAGAGTCTGTTTAACGTGACTCAAAGTAAGCTTTAGTAATGCTATGCCTCATTAAACCTACTTCTCAGGTTATTACTTTTATGCCACCGTATAAGGAGTTGTTTGTGATATGATGATATGATGACTTATGGCAGAACTGATGAACCTTCAAGGTTCTCTCAAGAGTTCATTTACTGTACTGTGGGTTCTTTACATTCACCTGCGCTGGGGTTAAGGCGCCAAGGGGAACACCTTACGCTCTCAGCCACTGAGGCACCGAGAGGTATGCCTGGCTCCCCAGGCCACTCCCATCCATCACTAGCACACACTAGTCACGGCTCGCCCTATTTAATCAATTCCAAAGCTATTGGGCAACGCTCCAGTCATGAACTTATATTTCAATTAAAAATTTTGGAATGTATAGGCTGTAAGAGAGTAAATTATGTACGTCTTGAGAAGCATTAGAGAAAGTATAAATATTATGAAGATATCAAATTATTATTAATCTTACAACTATTAAATAACCAGACACTAAGCATTTGTGTATCTAGTAAATACTACTTACACTGCACCAGGCTAGATCATTCTCATGTTTGTGGTTCCTAAACCAATAAAGAACTCCTTATCTTCACTAGTCTCCTCCGTCGCACAGTGAGGTTGTAGGCATCGTCTCTACCATCACTTATAAAAAACAGAGAAAACAAAAATCATTAGCATTTCCAAGCGTAAATCCTAATGCTGCTCCTCTCTCTCTTCCCCCGCCAGGGCGACTACACCCGCGCCTGGAGACACTACCTGACGGCGCACGGGCAGGAGCCCTCCAACACCCTCCTGCTGGAGAACATGGAGAAGCTGAGACGGGCACAAGACCTCCAGGCACCCGCCAGCATCCCCCACTGCCTCAACAAGTCCTGATATACATTCCAAGACCCAAAGGTCTCACTCGAATCCTTTCTGAGCACTATTTTAGATTAATTGATTTTTATAGAAACGGATCAGAATTTGTTTATCATTCCCCCAACACTCGCTACACCTTTGTTCTTTACCGCTATATCCGGGCAACAGGTGTGGGAGTGTGAGACCAACTAAGCTCTAGTTCTAACATAGCCAACCGAAATTTTCTTAATTGGATAACATAATACTGTAAAGTATTTACTTGCTGTAGGTACATGAAGGTAAATAATGTAATGTTGTAGTGAGAAATGCGACCCATCACAAGGGAAAATTTGGGCGAGAGCGCGCACCTGAAGACCAACAGAAGGGCGGGAACATTAGTTCTTCTCAAGACGAAGAAACACAAATTATCTTTAAAGATGGAAGGTAGTCCAGGCACCGCAAAGTATTCTAAGGTTAATACAGAAGGGCTTTGTTGCCTCAAGAGAGATACCTGCCCCCCCTACCCATCTTGGTGAGTCGCAGTGAACCCAGGCGAAGCCAAGCGGACCCTGGTGAGTCCAAACTAACCCAGCAGAATCCCAGTAAACGCAGGCGAAGCCCCACCAAGCCTGGTAAGCCCCACCGAGCCTGGTAAGCCACACCAAGCCTGGTAAGCCCCACCAAGCCTGGTAAGCCACACCAAGCCTGGTAAACCACACCAAGCCTGGTAAGCCACACCAAGCCTGGTAAGCCTGGTAAGCCACACCAAGCCTGGTAAGCCACACCAAGCCTGGTAAGCCACACCGAGCCTGGTAAGCCACACCGAACCTGGTAAGCCACACCAAGCCTGGTAAGCCACACCAAGCCTGATAAGCCACACCGAACCTGGTAAGCCACACCGAACCTGGTAAGCCACACCAAGCCTGGTAAGCCCCGACAAGCCTGATAAGCCACACCGAACCTGGTAAGCCACACCAAGCCTGGTAAGCCTCACCGAGCCTGATAAGCCACACCGAACCTGGTAAGCCACACCAAGCCTGGTAAGCCCCGCCAAGCCTGATAAGCCACACCGAGCCTGGTAAGCCACACCAAGCCTGGTACGCCCCACCATGCCTGGTAAGTCACACCAAGCCTGGTAAGCCCCACCAAGCCTGGTAAGCCTCACCAAGCCTGGAAAGCCACACCAAGCCTAGTAAGCCACACCAAGCCTGGTAAGCCACACCAAGCCTGGTAAGCCACACCAAGCCTGGTAAGCCCACCAAGCCTGTTAAGCCCCACCAAGCCTGGTAAGCCACACCAAGCCTGGTAAGCCCCACCAAGCCTGGTAAGTCACACCAAGCCTGTTAAGCCACACCAAGCCTGTTAAGCCCCACTAAACCTAGTAAGCCACACCAAGCCTGCTAAGCCACATCAAGCCTGGTAAGCCCCACTAAACCTAGTAAGCCACACCAAGCCTGGTAAGCCACACCAAGCCTGTTAAGCCCCACCAAGCCTGGTAAGCCACACCAAGCCTGTTAAGCCCCACCAAGCCTGGTAAGCCACACCAAGCCTGTTAAGCCCCACCAAGCCTGGTAAGCCACACCAAGCCTGGTAAGCCCCACCAAGCCTGGTAAGCCACACCAAGTCTGGTAAGCCCCACCAAGCCTGGTAAGCCACACCAAGCCTGGTAAGCCACACCAAGCCTGGTAAGCCCCACCAAGCCTGGTAAGCCCCACCAAGCCTGGTAAGCCACACCAAGCCTGGAAGCCACACCAAGCCTGGTAAGCCCCACCAAGCCTGGTAAGCCACACCAAGCCTGGAAGCCACACCAAGCCTGGTAAGCCACACCAAGCCTGGAAGCCACACCAAGCCTGGAAGCCACACCAAGCCTGGTAAGCCACACCAAGCCTGGTAAGCCACACCAAGCCTGGTAAGCCACACCAAGCCTGGAAGCCACACCAAGCCTGGTAAGCCCCACCAAGCCTGGTAAGCCACACCAAGCCTGGTAAGCCCCACCAAGCCTGGAAGCCCCACCAAGCCTGGAAGCCACACCAAGCCTGGAAGCCACACCAAGCCTGGAAGCCACACCAAGCCTGGAAGCCACACCAAGCCTGGTAAGCCCCACCAAGCCTGGTAAGCCACACCAAGCCTGGTAAGCCCCACCAAGCCTGGAAGCCCCACCAAGCCTGGAAGCCCCACCAAGCCTGGAAGCCACACCAAGCCTGGAAGCCACACCAAGCCTGGAAGCCACACCAAGCCTGGAAGCCACACCAAGCCTGGAAGCCACACCAAGCCTGGAAGCCACACCAAGCCTGGAAGCCACACCAAGCCTGGTAAGCCCCACCAAGCCTGGTAAGCCACACCAAGCCTGGAAGCCACACCAAGCCTGGTAAGCCACACCAAGCCTGGAAGCCACACCAAGCCTGGAAGCCACACCAAGCCAAGTACCATTGAAGGATAAAGGTTGGTTTTCGTGGCATCGTTCCTAGACTCACTGACCCCAGCCCGTCCTCCTGCTTAGATAGTACTTATAGTAACGCTGTGGACCCTCCTACATATTATGACGTCATAAACTATCACAATGTAGAATTTGGTACTATTGAATTTGGACAAACTGGAAAAGGTTTTGTATTTAGGTTGCTAATCCTAACTTAACCATCCTAGGCCTAATATACGCTAAAGCCTATAATATTGTACACACACACTATATATATATATATATATATATATATATATATATATATATATATATATATATATATATATATATATGCGAACAAGCCTGAATGGTCCCGAGGACTATATGCGACTGAAAACTCACACCCCAGAAGTGACTCGAACCTATACTCCCAGGAGCAACGCAACTGGTAACTACAGGGCGCCTTAATCCTCATATTAAGTCATATATATATATATATGCATAGGAATATTTAAGTTCGGGTTTTAGCTTTTTTTTCGGGCCATAATAAAGTGAATAGTACGAAATTTAGTACCAAATATCTAATAGTCTATCACGTCAATATGTACAATGGTCCAGATAGTTACAAAATGTACTATATAAACAGGAGAATAGGTTGCATTTGTCGCGTCAGGTGTTTGATAATTATTATGCAACTTATCATATATAAGATTACACATGCTTTATGTTAACGAGAAATGCCACATTTCTCGTGTCCGGGGTTCGAACCCATTAAGCTGCCTTGACATTTTCTCATCATCAGCTTAGCTTTCCCAACTAACTGGTGCTGCAGGCGCCGGCGCCGTCTTCAGTAATACTATGCAGTATTACGGAGAAGGGGGGACCTGCTGCATGGGTGACAGCTTCTCCCCCATATCAACCTGCCCAGGCTATGCGCCCTGGAGAGGCCACTCCAAAGCGCAAGTCCACAGTCTCCTGAAACTGATATATGCCCGCTACTACCACTATGGATATAACGACCTCCTGATACAGCGGTCACAACAAGAAAAATAATGTATCCGTAGCAGGCATGAAAGACGCGCAGAGTTACGACGTCGTATATATGCGACGTCGCAGCTGTATGCAATTCAGACTGTACGATCTACCGCGTCGGTTTTCTTAAGATGCGAATACGACATCCGTTGCCGTGTTGGATACAGAAATTGGATAGAATGATGAAGAAAATGTCAGCCAGCAGCGCTCAAGCAAACGTAACCAAACCTAACTTAACTCAGCCAAACCTAACCATAACGTAACCAAACCTAACTTAACTCAGCCAAACCTAACCATAACGTAACCAAAACTTAACCAAATCTAAAATAGCCAAACCTTAGCAAAGGTAACCAAACCTGACGTAACCTAACTAAACCTAACAAAACCAAAACAGCCACGAGAGCAAAAACAGCCACGAGGACAAAAACAGCCACGAGGACAAAAACAGCCACGAGGACAAAAACAGCCACGAGGACAAAACAGCCACACAGCCAAAGCCACGGGGGCAAATACAGACACAATGCCCACTAAAAAAAAAAATTGTATTGTGACAAAATCCTGAAAAGCTCCTTAATTTTCAACAGATCCATCCAGTCCGGAAAACTTTATGCCAAGTTGACTAACAACAACAGTAATGTAGCATTTTAGCTGGTGTTGCAAAGTCCAGGTGATGAATGCGGCCTGTGGGGGCTAGTCATAGGCTTTCAGGTTTTACATTTTGTTCATGGGGTAGCCTTGAGTAGTTTCAGCGGCTCTGTAATCATTCTTGTACAGCCACTAGCAAGCATAGCGTTTCGGGCAAGTTCTTAACCCCATGTTCCCTGGAATACGACCCGCCAAATCGTTTAACAACCAGGTACCCATTTTACTGTTGGGTGAACAGAGGCTACAGTTAAGGATTGACGCCCAGTAAATCCTCCCCGGCCAGGATACGAACCCAGGACAAAGCGCTAGCGTAACGCCAAGCGAGTGTCTTACCACATATGCTCAACGGCCGCCCACACAATGAATATGGGGGGGGGGAGCATAATCAATTGATTTCAATTAAAATTCATCTCACTGATGGCACCTGGATGAGGAGAGTACTGTGGGCAACACCCAGCAGGCACTAGAGCAACAGTGCCAGGGATAATGAACAATGTGCCAGGCAACGTGACATGTCACAACAATGACAACAATGTCAACGGGATGCCAGTTGTCAACAGTGACTGATAACCACGCTGACCATTATAACCTAGTGATAGCCAGAACAGCAATATCGTACCTACGATACCCATAGTCTCCAATGATATCAACCTGTCCTCACACTTAATGCACCGCAATTCATTCAAACGCAATCGACCAGAGTCTCGAATTTCCGCGTTTTTTGTGAAATAAAAACACTGCGACAGACACTGACTAATAGGCATCTTAATCATTGTATACCTATAGGTTCATACGCGTCTGATTAGGGTATAAGCGCTACATATTGGACGCTTTTTATATAAAAGCGAGCTGCGGGCAGATCTCCCGTCGTGGTCACCCAGGAACGCGAGTTCAATCCCATTGCATTGCCCTGAAAGATCTCATCATGGATATATTCCGCTGTGCTGAATAATATGTTGCCTTGCGTTGATAGAAGCAAACGCTCGCTCGCACATCGTCGCTTAAAACAGTACTCACCATAATGGCGCAGACTGTTGTTGTGTTACGGGCAAGAGTAACCAG